GAGCCACCTTTTCACAGAATCCTTTAAGAGCGGAAACACTTTTACTATAGGCCTACCAGGGATGGAGCCACCTCTCATAGAATCCAATTAAGGACGGAGCCCTCTCTGATAGAATCCTGATAAGAACGGAGCCACCTCGACTGTAATCCTCATAGGGGTGCAGCCGCCTCTCATATGATCTCAGAAGGGACGAAGCAATCTCGAATTAGTTTCCGATTCGCGATGGATCAACCAACCTCTAGTGAAATCCTGGCAGAGTACATGATATGTTCAACTTCGTCTCGGGGGCGGGGCCCGCTGAGTATTGGGCGTTGCGTTGGAGACGAAGGCCGCGGGGCACATGAGTGCCGTCTAAGAGAGGGAGTTTCTCGCGTAGAATGGCATTTTCGATATCATATCGAATCATATGGGGCGTTGTCTCGAAGACGAAGGCCGTGCAGTACATGGGCGCTGCGTCGGAAACGGAGGCTGTTGAGTAGAATGGCATGTTCAAGGTCGCATTGGGGAGGGAGCCCGTTGAGACGTGGGGGCTGCGCTGGAACCGAAGGCTGTGGAGTACATGGGTGCCGCGTTGAAAACGGAGGCTGTTGAATATAATGATATTATCAAGTTCACCTGGGGGAGGAAGTAACTTGGGCGTTGTTTGGGGGGCGAACGCTATGGAGTACCTGTGTGCTGCGTTGGATACGGAGGCCGTCGGATAGAACGATAGTTTCAAGCTCATCTTGGGGAGGGGGCCAGTGGAATATATGGCGTTGCGTTGGGGACGAATGCCGTGGAGTACATGGGCGCTGCGTTGGAGACGAGGCTGCTGAGTATAATAATGTTTTCAAACTCATCGCGGGGAGTGGCCCTGCTGACTATCGGGCATTGTGTTGGAGACGAAGGCAGTCGAGTACATGGGTGCTGCGTTGGAGACGGAGGCTGTTCAATATACTCGCGTTGTGAAACTCGGATTGGGGAAGGAGCCCGTTGACTATTGGGCATCGCTTTGGGGGCGAATGCTTTTGAATACAAGGGGGTGCTGCGTTGGAAACGGAGGCTGTTGAGCGCAATGGCATTGTCAAGTTCAGCTTGGGAAGGGAACCTGTTGAGTATCGGGTGGCGCGTTGGAGACGAAGGCTGCGAAGTACCTGGGCAATGCGTTGGAGACATGGGCTGTTGAGCAGAAGTCTGGCGTCAAGCTCATCTTGGGCAGGGGGCGCGTTCAGTATTGGGCGTTGTGTTGGAGACGAAAGCCGCGGAGTGCCTGGGGGGTTGGATGGATGCGGAGACTGGTGAGTATAATGGTAGGTTGAAGCTCATCTCGGGGAGGGTGCCTGTTCAATATTGGCCGTTGCATTGGAGAAGAAGGCTGTGGAGTGCCCGGGTGCTGCGTTGGAGACGGAGGCTGTTGAGTAGAAGGACATGTTCAAGTTCATCTTGGGGAGGGAGCCCGTTGGGCATTGGGCGTTGCGTTGGAGACGAATGCCGCGGAGTACATGGGGGCTCTGTTGGAGAGGGGGGCCGTCGAATATAATGACATTTTCATGTTCATCTTGAGGAGGGATCGCGTTGAGCATTGGGCGTTGTGTCGGAGACGATGGCCGTGGAGCGCATGGGTGCCGCGTTGGAAACGGAGGCTGTTGAGCAGAAGTATACGTTGAAACTCATATTGGGGATGAGGGCCCGTTGAGTATTGGGCGTTGTGTTGGAGACGGGAGCTGTGGAGTGGAAGAATATTTTCTAGTTCATATTGGGAAAGGAGCCCGTTGAGTATTGGGTTGTGTTCGAGACGAAGGCTGGAAAGTACTTGCGTGCTGCGTTGGAGACCGGGGCCGTCGAGTATAATTATGTTTTCAAGTTCATCTTGGGGAGGGGGCCTGTCGAGTATTTGGCGATTTCTTGGAGGCGAAGGCCGTGGAGTACATGGGCGCTGCGTTGGAGACGGAAGCTGTCGAGTGTAATGATTTTTTCAAGCTCATGTTTGGGGGGGGGCCTGTTGCGTCATAGGTATTCTGTTGGCGACGGAGGCTGTGGAGTGCATGGGTTCTGCGTTGGAGACGGTGGCTGTCGATTAAAAGGAGATGTTTAAGTTAATGTTGGGGAGGGATCCCGCTGTTCATTGCACGTTGCGTTGGAGACGAAGGCCGTAGAGCACATGGGCGCTGTGTTAGAGACGGAGACGGTTGAGTCTAACAATATTTTCAAGTTCATCATGGGGAGGGGGCCTGCTGACGATTGGGCGTTGCGTTGGGGCCGAAGGCTGCTAGGTACCTGGGTGATGTGTTAAGTAAATGGAAGCTGTTGAGTAGAATTACACTTCCAAGTTCAGATTGGGGAAGGAGCCTGTTGAGCATCGGGTGTTGCGTTGGAGACGAAGGCTGTGGAGTACCTGGGTGCTCTGTTGGAGACGGAGGTTGTTTAGTAGAAAGATATTTCTGGTTCAGATTGGGGAGGGAGCCAGTTGAGTATTGGGCGTTGCGTTGGATGCGAACGCTGTGGAATACATGGGCGCTGTGTTGGAGACGGAGGCTGTCGACTACAATGATTTGTTCAAGCTCGTCTTGGAAAGGGGGCCTGTTGAGTATCGTGTGTTGTGTTGGAGACGAAGGCTGTGGACCACCTGGGTGATGCTTTGGAGACGGAAGTGGTTGATTTTCAAGTTCATATTGGGGAAGGAGCCTGTTGAGTATCCGGCGTTGCGTTGGAAACGAAGGCTGTTTAGCGCATGGGTGATGCGCTGGAGACGGAGGCTGTTGAGTAGAGTTATACGTTCAAGTTCATATTGGGGAGGGAGCCTGTGGAGAATCAGTTTCTGTGTTGGAGACGAAGGCTGTGGAGTACCTGGGTGTTGTGTTGGAGATGGAGGCTGTTGAATACTATGAAATGTGAAAGCTCATCTTGGGGAAAGAGCCAGTTGAGTATTGGGTGCTGTGTTGGAGACGAAGGCGGTGGAGTACATGGGTGCTCTTGTATTGGTGTTGTACAGCTGCTCGATGGTCCACCGCAGACCTGCAAAAATGTTCATGGTGGGTTCAGCGGGCTATATGACCCGGTCGGGTCGGGTCGGGTCGGGCGGACCCCCAAACGAGCGGTCGGGTCTGGCGGGCGAAGCAAGGTATGGCGCGCGATCGCGTAGACACGCGAAAACCTTTTTTCGGTCGTGTCGGGGCGAGCGGGCGCACCCTTATGGGCGGGCGGATCGGGTCGGGTCGGGCGGACCCCAACGGGCGGTTCGGGCCCGGCGCCTCCTTCAGGCCCTCTCCTACTCCTCCTCCTTCGTCCTCAATCATCCTCCACCCTCTCCCTCCCCCTCTCCCCCGCTCTCTCCTGGTCCCGTCTCCGTGCGCCTCCCTCGTCCTCCTTTGTCCTCCCTTCTCATCCCTCCGTCATCCTCCGACCAAATTCACGATTGTTCTCAACGTCGCTAGGGCGAGATGTCCGCAATCGCAAGGATGAGTTGGACAACTGCGAAGAAGATGCTCAACATCGCTAGGGTGGTTGTTGGGGGCGGCAACGGGGCTCAGTTGGCGATTTTCGGGATCCTTTGAGATATCGAAGGTTTCCGTTGCTGTCCCACTGTCAGATGCCCTGCGCGCTACCACTGTCGTTATCGTTATCCTCAGCATCATCATCACCGTCATCGACATCGCAGTCGTCATCATCGCCATATTCGTCATCATCGTCGTCATCATCATCATCATTATCATCATCTTCATCGTCGTCATCATCGTCATCATCGCCATCATCGCCATCACCATGATCATGTACATGCACGGAATCATGTTTTTCGGGCTGGGCGGGCGGGGCAATGCACTTGGACGCGCGATCGAGTTGGCACACGAGAACCCTAATGGGTCCGGTCGGGTCAGACGGGCGGCCCCCAACGGGCGGGCGGGTCAGGTCGGGCGGGCGCGCCAAGACGGGCGGGCCATGTCGAGCGGGCGAATCATTAAAATAGATGCCAGATCGAGTTGACACGCCAATCTTCATGGGTCGGGTCGGGTTGGGCGGGCGTGCCCTAAAGGGCGGGCGGGTCGGGCCAGGGGGGCGCATCCCCAACGGGCGGGCGGGTCTGGCGGCTGGGACATTGAAGGGGGGGCGGCTCGGGTCGGGCGGGCGGGCCCTAACGGGCGGTTCGGGTCGGGCGTTTCCTTGGGGCCTCCTCCTCCATCACCCTCTAGCATCACCCACCCTCTGCCTCCCCCCCTCTCCCGCTCCTGGCCGAACTATTCGCCTGAGCATCGTTTCAGGATCGGCTGGTGCGAACACGGATAGCATCAAGTCAAAAAGTGCTCGCGCAGCCCAGCCGGCGCTGCCATGGAGCTGAGTCTGCATTCCAGCCGACGCTGGAATCCGGGCGCACGCAAGGACGGAGGGCATTTCACGAGCTTCAACCGCCGCAGACAACACAAATGACCCCGAATACGAACCAGATCTCCCCGAGGCCCTCCTGGCGACCTCGAAGCTTGCCCGGGGGGCCCCCGGAAGGTTCTATCTAAAACGCTGTGGCGGAATGGGCAAGGCCACCAGAGAAGGTAATCGTTGCCGTCGTGATGATGTTTTTTTTCTTTCTCTTCCACTTCCTTCTCCCCGTCCTGTTAATCCTCCCCTCCCCGTCGACATCGCGAGCATCGTCATCGTCATCGCCGCCATCACCATCATCGCCGTCGCCGTCGTCATCAACGTCATCGATCTCATCATCATCATCATCATCGCCGTCGTTGTCACCATCGTCGTCGTCATCATCGTCGTCATCGTCATGAGCATATTCATGTGCATATGCCATTCGAACACCATAATCATCGTAATTTCAATTTCCACCATCATCGCAAGCAGCCTAACAAGCGTGATAATCGCAATCATCATCGACATCGCTGGCATTGCTGTCATCGTCGCTGTCGTCGCCGCAGCCGTTTCTCCGTCAGTCGCGCCTCGCCGGTGTTGTTCAGCAGCGATCCTTTAGAGGTCGCGCCTCGGTTCTCGTTTCGCGAAGCTCACGAGGCATCAGTTCAGTCATGCCGCAGCGCGGAGAGGCCGCGCGCGTGGAGCCCCCCTCCGAGGACGATATTCTACATGCGTTTCGGGTCGCCCCAAAGCTGAACTTTGAGACTGCGGTGGACAAGCTGCCCAACGTGGCGCGCATGTCGAAATTCGGACACGATGCTCGTTTGCTGGGAATGGGCATTCCTTGCGCTGCTGAGTCTGGCCTCGGCCCTGGTTCCCGGCGACCGATTCGAACCGGCGCCATCGGTGTCAGCGCAGTCTTCCATGTGGGTCGTTCTCCTCCACCCTGGTGCGACTAACACCTCCAGCGTGATCAAGGTGGTCTCCAAGGCGGCGGCCCTGTTGACCGACCTGATCTTCCAGAAAGAAGATGCGGAGGTCAAGGAGCAGGCCAGGCGAGATAACCAAGAAGAAGATCCTACTGCCCAGGTCAAGTACACGCACCCCCCCCGTCGCCAACTCCTGGCGGGTGGTGGATCTGCCGCGGCAACCGGGATGCAGATGAGCTGCTCTCAGAACCGCTCGGCAGCGCTGTCTGCCGAGCCCGAGGTGGACCAGATACTCTCGTGGTTCTCGGCAGACGGCGGCATCGACGGAGGCGTAGTTGCTAAACTGTGGGATGGGCTGACATGGCACAGGCCAGTGATGGAGAAGCGGCGGGCTTTCGAGGTGAAGGACCCGTGGTGGGGGCTCATTGCTGGCGGCCACGTCCCAGAGCTCCACAAGGCAATCGTCAACGACCACTTCGGCTTTCGGCAGCGCGTCACCGTCTGCTACGGCGAACCATCATGGACCCCGAACACTCTCCGGTCGATACGTTCTGCGTGCTACGCCTTGCCAGTATCGACGAGCAAGCCGGAAGATTTTGTCGCGTATTTGCTGTGGCCGCTCTTCCGCCACAGCGTTGACGTCGGACCCGCCGCGCGTACCGCATCGACCGAGGAGGACGACGGACCGTTCTGCATCGTGGAGAAGAACTTCAACGCCCACTGCGCCATGCAGCAAGACTCTTTCCTGAAGCCAGGGCTCCACGACGAGGCGAAGCACCGTGGCAAGATGCGGTGCAAGTTCGACCGGATGACGTTGGCGTTGCACGTGGATGGCTTAGCATCGGCCATATCAAATGCGATTCTTGATTTCTCTGGAGAAGTTCCACCCCTGCCACTTCCCTGCCGTTCGAAAAAACGATCTTGCGGGATCCCACCGTTGGTGTAGTGCCTCGCTCTCTTGATCGCTGGTTTCCCGATGATCGGTTCCGAGAGCCCGATGGCATTTGCAAGGCAGCTTTGATTGCGCATGCGCGCGTCGTGGGGCCCATGCGCGCGAGGGGAGCTGACAAAAAGAGAGAGAGAGAGAGAGAGAGAGAGAGAGATATAGAAACGTGGACAATAAACAAGTTGCACGTACGTGCCCAGGCTTATACGAAAAGCTGCGGATCGGGGACCCAACAGCAGGATCGACAAGTTGAATCGAAAGTCGAGGACCGAGGAGGAGGACGACGATGACGACGACAACGACGATGGCGACGATTGCGACGACGGCGACGACGACGACGGTGACGACGGTGACAACGGCGACGGCGACGACGACGACGACGACGACGACGACTACGACGACGACGACGACGACGACGACGACGACGACGACGACGACGACGACGACGACGACGACGACGACGACGACGACGACGACCACCACCACGACCACGACCACGGCCACGACGACGACGACGACGACGACGACGACGACGCCCGCGACTGCCTGCGCGCCCCAGCCCGAGGGCAGCGCCAAATGCGGCGCTGGCCCCGTGCGGAGGCGCGCCGGCACTGCGGCGCCCCGTGCGCATGGCGCCGACGGTGAAAGGTTTCTCCAGAGGTCTCGGAGCAGGGACCCTGACGTCGCGATCTGCGTCAGGGGTGCCACCGATTTTCAGAGTTCTGCGGGTGTCCCTAGCGAAACAGCTAGAAACAACGCGAACAGGACGGCTTCAATTAATCGCCTCTGAGCTCTACTCCTTCGGAGAGATGCGTATGATCATACATTGAAAACCGCTGTGTTTCGGGGGATCGCTATAACAAAACCCTTGGAATCAAACTGCATTTTGGGAGGTTGTTGTTTAAAGCGTTGAACGTCCTATGTGGTTTTGGACCCTGACGTCGCAATCAGCGTGAGGGGTGCCACGCATGTTCTGAATTTCTGAGGATGTCCCTAGCGAAACGCCCAGAAACATGTTGCGAACGGGACAGCTTCAATTAATCGCCTCTGATTTCTACTCCCTCGGAGAAGTGTGTACGATAGTATCCCAGCAAATCACCGTGATGGTAACATCAGTGACAATGGAATGATAACCACTTTCCCCTCCTCCTCCTCCTCCTCCTCCTCCTCCTCCTCCTCCTCCTCCGTTTCAACCTCCTCCTTATTCAATCCTCCTGCAATCCTCCCTCCTCCGCTTCCGCCTCCTCGTAATCCTACTCTTTCCCCTCCACCTCCAACCCCTCGTCCGTCCCCCATTGTTCTCCTCCTCGTCCTCCGCTGCCACCCTCCTTCTCGTCCTCCACCCAATTTCACTCCTCCTCCTCATCCAGGTCATCCCTTTCCTGCTCCCCCTGCTCCTGATCCTCCTCCTCCTCCTCCTCCTCCTGCTCCTGCAGTTCGTCTCACCAAGCCTTGTGCACAGAATTTCACTAGTGACCATGCGAGGTCAAACTGGAACAGAGCGTTCCAGAGGAAGCACCCCGACCCCGCCAAAGGTGAGGGAAAGATGCTAGACGAGTTGCTCCCTTTAGCCGACCTGCTGGGGCATAGGGACCAAGAACAACGGTCTAGCAGCTCCGGCCACGCGGTGGCTGTGACAGAGACATGACAATCCTTTCCAACTCCCCCTTCCCCGCCTGTTCCCCCCTCCTCCCGATCGCATTTCTTCCACAGCGCCAGTTTTGCGCTAGTCGTGTCTGGACGCGGTGGTCGGGAATGGGTTGGGCAAGGGGCAGTCTGGGGGGACAATTTCGTTAACACAGCTGGCGCGGCGGAAGCGTGTTTGAAAGAGAAGACATCCCCAGATGGGTGTCCAATTCGGACTCGGCCCCCGAGTCGGCCGGAGTCAAAACTGCGCGCGAGTTTTCGCCCCCCGAGGGTGGACGCTGGCGCGTCGCCCTACTTGGGGGATGCCAGCCCGTCGATGTATTCCAGGGCTGGGTCGAAGACGCTCGCAATACAGAGTTCTATGCGGAGCGATTTCTTTCCTTCCGTCCCCCCCTCCCTCCTCATTCCGCACCTCCCCCTTCCGCCTCCTACCTTGTTCACGGCGCCAGGCTGGCGCAGCTGCCGGAGAGAAGACGGGGGTGGGCATGGGACATAAGAGGGCAGATCTGGGGGGCAATTTCGTTAACAAGCCAAGCAGCAGGCCAGAAAAAGGGCCACACTTTGTTGCGGCCGTTCTGCTGCTCTTTATCGGTCGGGGGGAAACCCGGTCTTAAGTAACATGTTTGTCCCAATATGGAGCCGCGAAATCTTGTCAAGTTTCACTGGGGTGGAAGCTTCTATTCCATATTTAACCCGCGGGCAGTCGGACTCGCTTGCCACGAAGAGCAAATCCAAATCCTCCTCGTGTTCCTCCTCCTCCTCCTGCTCCTCCTACTCTCTTTCTCCACCTCCTCCTCCTCCCCTTCCTCCTCCTCTTCCTCCTCTTCCGCCTCCCCAGCATCATCATCATCATCATCATCATCATCATCATCATGAGCAGCTGCGCACCTGGCGCTGCGAGGCCCCCGGGGGGATGATCTGGTTTCGAGGGGGGAATGTCTGCGGGGGGGCAGGATTTGTCCGCTTGATTTCGGCCGTAACGGTCTGGTCCGTGAAGGGCCGATCGAATATCCATCCCTCTCCTCCTCCTCCTCCTCCTCCTCCTTCACCCCCTTCCGCTCAGCCCTTTCCGCCCGAGGGCCAAGTTCGTCAACTTTCGCCTCCGTCGTCCTCTTCCGGGCCCTCCTGCTCTTCCTCTTCCTTCTCACATCGCCCTCGTCCTCCATGCCCCCCCCCCCCTCCTCTTGTAAAGAAAGCGGGAGCTCTTTCACAGGCAGCGAACATCAGTCTTGAGCCCAAAGGCCCACGGTCAAACAACAGTCCTTGCGTAAAAATGCCCAGGCACACTTTTGCATAAAAACGTCTGGGCTCCTCGGGGTCCGGGGCAAGGTACAATTTGCACCTCCTTCTCCGCATCCTCCTCCTCCGCCTCCGCTTCCGCATCCACGTCATCATTCTCCTCTTGCTCCATGTTCCTCCTCCCTCGTCTCCCCCATGGTCCACCTCCCATTTCTCATCTTCACTCTCATCCTCCTCCTTCCGCCCACGGGCGCGTGGAAACTGGCCTGAGGCACCTTGCGCGCTCGCGCGCGGGCGGGCGGATCGATCAGCGCGAGCGTCTGTCGCCCTGCCTTCATTGAACCGAGCTCGGGATGGCAACTGAGGCGTTCAGTTCGGCGCGCGACGCCTGGGCGGAGGCCTCGATCGACAGGCCCGGGCAGCCCCCGCTGACTCTGGACTCGAACTGGCGCGACGGTTCCTCGTTGCCCACGGACGTGCCGAAGGAAGTAGTCGAATTCTCGCACTGGTTCGGGGATCACTGCGAGACGCAATGGCGCCTATTCGACTTCGGACGTAAGAGGCACTACCTTCCAGAAGAGCAGGACCTTTCCGCGCCAACCCAGCCGCCGAGTGCAGCGAGGGCGCGCCAGGCAGGTGACGCGGCCGCAGGGGGCGCCCTGCCTGCACGGGGCGGGCCCCGAGCGGGCGGTGGGCAAGCAGCGGCCCCTGAGAACGCAATCGTGGCGCTGTTGCGCCGCGAGGGCGCGGAGAATCGCGAGCACGCGCTCCTGGCGAAGGACTTCCAGAGCATGTTCCGAGGCAACCCCAAGATCGGCGACAACCTCATCACAGATGCACTTGACGCGCTCCCTGTCGGGGGGGTGACCGCGACGGTGGTGCAGCAATGCGCAAAAGGCGCCCTCGCCTCTCCGGGCATGTGGTTCCAGTACCACAGCGACATGTCGACCGCCACCAAGAAGGCCCTGCGGAAGATCACGCAGGAGACGTGCGAAGACAAGACGCCAATCGTGGTTTTCTTGGCTTGCTTGGCCTTGCAAGTCCTCGGGCTGGGCCATGTCTTGCTCTCCCAGGTCGTTTGCGGCGGGGGGCGATACTCCTGGTTCTTCCAGAAGCACATCGTTCTCGAGTCCATGACGCCAATGCTCCGCCAATTCGGGTTCACCGAATCGTCGCAGCCAAGCCACGCTTCATATGCGGCCTCGGTGCAGGCAAAGGCTCGGGAAACAGACGTGCCAGCCAGGGCGCCCAGTAACGTCCAATACAGTGCCCCGTCATTGGACCACATCCGCCGAGCCGTCGCCGTGCTTGGCTGGGCCAATGTGGACGGCCTTGTGCCAGCGCCTTCTCACGGGGGCGAAGCAGCCGCGTCTCCGCCAGTCGCTGGTCCCCAACAAGATGGTCCCGCCGCCGCATTGCCCGAAGCCCGCGCTGCTGAAGCTGCGGCCGAACAGCAGAGTCCGCCCGGCGGTGACGACGAAGATGAGGAACCTCCGGCGCCCATGGAGGTCGACGGCGAGGACGAGGAGGCTGCGGGTTCTGCAGGACGACGACGCGAGGATGACGACGAGGATGATGAAGGGTTTGGCAAGTGAAGCGCGTCCTGGGTGCTGAACTCGGCCATTTTGGCCCTCGCTCCCTGTCCACGCTGTTGCTGACATCAGCCCAGCAGGTGGTTGATCGACTATTGGAGAGGCCTTACGGCCGGTGCCGCCGACCCTGAACGATGACAAGGGGTGAGGCAAAGGAGGAGGAGGAGGAGGAGGAGGAGGGGGTGGATCAAGATGAGGAGGAAGAGGAGGACGAGGCGGGGGGAAAGAGGGTAACAATGATGATGATGGTGATGATGGTGATGATGGTGATGCCGATGATGATGATGATGATGATGATGATGATGTTGATGATGATGATGAGGAGGAGGAGGATGAAGATGAATATGAAGATGAAGATGAAGATGATGGGGGGGAGGAGGAGGACGACGACGACGGAGACGACTGCGACGACGACGACGACGACGACGACGACGACGGCGACGACGACGACGACGACGGCGACGGCGACGGCGACGGCGACGGCGACGGCGACGGCGACGGCGACGAGGACGATGCTGACGTGGGTGAGAATCCTCAGGGATGCTTATTGGGGTTTCTTCGGAGCGCTCTCGGGGGCCTGTTGGGGGTTTCTTGGGGGCTCTTGGGAGCCTCTTGGGGGCCTCTTGGGGGTCTCGTGGTGGCCCCTCGTGTGGGCGCCCTGTTGGATCCGTTTTGTAAGCCTCAGGGGCCATCTTGGAAGCCTCTTGGGGCCGTCATCTTGGAGGCCTCTCGGGCTATCCAGGGACAATGTTGGGAACTTCTCGAGCCGTCTTGGAACGTCGGGAAGCCGAACAGGCGAGACCGCCCAAATCTTTCCAAACAAATGGAAAATCAATGATGTTTGCCTCTTGGCGCCTTCTTGGGAGTGCTCTTGGAGGCCTTGGGGCGTCTTGGATACCTCTTGCGCCGTGTGGAGGCTACTTTGGCGTCTTCGACCGATCCTTCAACGATTCGGGGCCTTCTTGGACCGTCTTGGAACTCTTGGGGCACTCTTGACCCGTCTTGGAGTTTTTGTAGGCCCCGGGACTTCCCGGGGGGGATGGGCATCTGGATGGCGACCCCCCCCGGGACCCTTCCCCGAGACACCCCCCTGGACCTCCCCCCCGGCCGGGAAGGGATCAAAGGGAAGGGGCTTCCCCTCGACTCCATTACGACGTTGCTCAATGTCGCTTTGGCTGGCGCGCTGGGGGAGTAAGGCCCAGGGAAGGGGGGCGGGGGGCGACGGAGACGACGAGAGACGACCGAGACGACGACGGGGACGACGAGGAGACGATGGAGACGACGACTCGAACGGAAAAGCCCCTCACACACGCCGACAGGGTCGGCTGATTTTTCGTCCCTCGTATTATCTCCTCCCCTCGCCTCCGCCCCTCTCCCCTTGGCGCCTCTCCGGGCGCTCTTCTTTGCGCATCGATTGTCTATCATGTATTCTCGTTTCCTCGCCCTTTCTCCTCATGAGTTCCTCTTCGCGTATCTGTGCTTACCGTCCCATCCAATCCGACTCCTCTCTCCCACTCCCTCTTCCCGCGTGGCGGAATCTGGAAGCCTTTAGTCTGGCTGTCAGTTGGCTTGCGGCTTTGCGCCTGGCGCCTCCTCTCTTCTCCCACACACGCACACACACGCACATACCTACACGCACGCACGCACGCACGCACGCACGCACCCACACACACACACACGCACGCACGCACGCACGCACGCACGCACGGACGGACGGACGCACGCACGGACGCACGGACGCACGTACGCACACACACACACACGCACGCGCACGCACGCACGCACGCACGCACGCGCATACACGCCCATACATTCATACCCCCCCACACACACACTCCCTCTCGCCTTAAACTTCAATATAAATACGCGAGCCAGGGCGCATTGCTCCTAGACGAGAGTTTCTATCTCGGGCATGTTTATAATAATTTTCGCAGACGAGAGTTTTCATCTCGTGTCCGCGCCCAATTTTAAAGTGCCACTTGGCACAGGATGAAGGGAAAGAGGAGGAGGAGGGGGAAGACGATGGGGAGGATGAGGAGGAACCCAACGTTTCACCAGTTTGCATAAATTTGTCTCGCGTGTAGGAGGGGGAGGGGGGAGGGAGGGAGGGAGGGGGGAAGGAGGAGGAGGGAGGAGGGAGGAGGGAAGAGGGAGGAGGGAGAACGGGGAG